CTTCCTTATTCGTTGTCCATACATATGAGGTGCTTGAAAATACCATGGCTTGGGTCAGGCACACCTTAGCCCTCAAAGTGACATCTTTGCTTTTTAATATTTTAAAGAGGATTTTTGAAGCAGATTTGCCCAATGCAATACATGGTTTAATTTCCTGATTGCTGCTTCCATGGGCATTGATTGTGAATCCAAGTAAAATGAAATTCTTGACAACTTCAATATTTTCTCTGCTTACTATGATGTTGCCTGTTGGTCCAGTTGTGAGGATTTTTGTTTTCTTTACGTTGAGGTGTAATCCATACTAAAGGCTGTAGTCTTTGATGTTCATCAGTAAGTGCTTCAAGTCCTCTTCATTTTCAGCAAGCAATGTTGTGTTATCTGCATACTGCAGGTTGTTAATGAGTTTTTCTCCAATCCTGACAACGAGTTCTTCATGTAGTTCAGCTTCTCAGATTATTTGCTCAGTATAGAGGTTAAATAAGTATGGTGAAAGGATACAACTCTGATGCACTCCTTTCCTGATTTTAAACCACGCAGTATCCCCTTTTTCTGTTCGAATGACTACCTCTTGGTCTATGTACAGGTTCCTCATAAGCACAAATAAGTGTCCTGAAATTCTCAGACTTCACAATGTTATCCATAATTTGTTATGATCCACATAGTCAAATGCCTTTGCATAGTCAATAAAACACAGGTAAACATCTTTCTGGTAGTCTCTGCTTTCAGCCAAGATCCATCTATCATCACCAATGGTATTCTTCATTCCACGTCCTCTTCTGAATCCAGCTTGAACTTCTGGCAGTTCCCTGTTGATATACTGCTGCAACACTTTTAAATTATCTTCAGCAAAATTTACTTGCATGTGATATTAATGATATCGTTCAATAATTTCTACATTCTGTTGGATAATCTTTCTTTGAAATGGGCACAAATATGAATCTCTTCCAGTCAGTTGGCCAGGTAGCTGTCTTCCAAATTTCTTGGCATAGATGAGTGAGCACCTCCAGCACTGCATCCGTTTGTTGAAACATCTCGATTGGTATTCTGTCAATTCCTGAAGCCTTGTTTTTCGCCAGTGCCTTCAGTGCAGCTTGGACTTCTTCTTTCAATACTGTCAGTTCTTGATTATATGCTACCTCCTGAAATGGTTGAATGTGGACCAATTCTTTTTGGTACAGTGAATGTGTATTCTTTCCATGTTCTTTGGATGCTTCCTGCTTTCGTTCAATATTTTGCCCACAGAATCCTTCAAAATTGCAACTTGAGGCTTGACTTTTCAGTTTTTTCAGCTTGAGAAATGCTGAGCATGTTCTTCCCTTTTGGTTTTCTAACTCCAGGTCTTTGCACATTTCATTATAATACTTCATTTTGTCTTCTCAAGCCGCCCTTTGAAATCTTCTGTTCAGTTCTTTTACGTCATCATCTCTTCCTTTTGCTTTAGCTACTCTACATTCAAGAGCAAGTTTCAGAGCGTCTTCTGACATCCATTTTGATCTTTTCTTTCTTTCCTGTTTTTGTAATGACCTTTTGCTTCTTGTATGATGTCCTTGATGTCATCCGACAGCTCCTCTGGTGTTTGGTCATTAGTGTTCAATTTGTCAAATCTATTCTTGAGATACTCTCCAAATTCAGGTGGGATACATTCAAGGTCATATTTTGGTTCTCATGGACTTGTTTTAATTTGTTTCAGCTTCAACTTAAACTTGCATATGAGCCATTGATAGTTTGTTCCATAGCTGGCCCCTGGCCTTGTTGTGACTGATGATATTGAGCTTTTCCATTGACTCTTTCCACAGATGTAGTCAATTTGATTTATATATGTATATATGCTTCACTGGTTTTTCTTCTCTTGAAAACCCAACCTAAAACAGAGGGGTATGTGGAAATATAGGTTAGTATATGATTTACGGAAAAAAAAGAAGAAAATGAGGGAGAGAAATAAGAGAAGTGGGAAGTGTCATTTATAAAGTATTATGTCCCAAGAACTGTACTAGGCATCTTGTACACATTATCTTGTTTAATTCTAAATGGTTTCCATGTGTTGGCCCCCTTCAATCAAGTATTCACATGATGCCTACAGTAATCTTCCCACAGCACAACATGGGTCATTTTGATCTCCTGCTTAAAACTGTTCACTGATTCCTGTTGCTCCGAGGATAATCTAAACCTTGTAACTTGCTCCTATGACTTTTTTTTTTTAATAACAACTTTATTGAGATATAATTCACCATACCATAAAATTCACTCTTGTAAAGTATACAATTCAATGGTTTTTAATATATTCACAGAGTTGTACAAACATCACCACAATCCATTTTAGAACATTTCATCACTCTAAAAAAGGAACCCCATACCCATTAGCAGTCCCCGTTTTCCCCTTTCCCCAGCTCCTGGCCACGAATGTACTTTCTGTTTCTGTGGGTTTGCTTATTCATGACATTTCATGTAAATGAAATCAATCATACAATATATGGCCTTTGTGACTGGTTTCTTTCACGTAGCATAACATTTTCAAGGTTCATCCACATTATAGCATGTATCAGTACTCCATTTCTTTCTATTTCTGAATAATATTTCATTGTATAGATATATTACATTTGTTTATCCATTCATCAGTTGGTAAACATGTGGGTTGTTTCCACTTTTTGCCTATTATAAATAATGCTGCTACGAATATTTACAGACAGGTTTTTGTGGACATATGTTTTCAGTTCTCTTGGATATACACCTAGGATTGGAATTGCCGGTATTGTAACTGTATGTTTAACATTTTGCAGAATGGCCAAACAGTTTTCCAAAGTGGCTGCACCATTTTACAATCCTTCCAGCAAAGTATGAGTGTTCTAGTTTCTCCACATCCTCGCCTACACTTATTGCTCTCAGGATTATCTCTATTTTAAGATTATAAGAGCAATAATCTTATTTTTTATTTCAGACGTCCTAGTGCATGTGAAGTATCTCATTGTGGTTTTGATTTGCATTTTGCTAATGACTAATGTCGTTGAGCATCTTTTCATGTGCTTATTAGCCATTTATATATCTTCTTTGGAGAAATGTCTACTCAAACCATTTGCCCATTTTTTAAATTAATTATTTGTCTTTTTATTATTGAGTTTTAACAGTTATTTAAATATTCTGGATACCAACTCACTATCAAGTACATAATTTTCAAATATTTCTACCATCCTGTGGGTTGTCATTTCACTTTCTTGATATTCTGTTGTCTTTCTTGATAGTGTCCTTTGAAGCACAAATGTTTTTAATTTTGATTAAGTGCAGTTTATCTGTTTTTGTTTTTTCTCTTAGATTGCTTGTGCTTTTGGTATCATATCTAAGAAATCATTGCCTAATCCAAGGTCATGACAATTGTTTCAGGTCTTACATTTAGGTCTATGATCTATTTTGAGTTAATTTTTACATATGGTGTGAGGTAAGGGCCCAACTTCATTCTTTGCATGTGGATATCCAGTTGTCCTAGTACTGTTCATTGGAAAAGACTATTCTTTCTCCCATTAAATTGTCTATGGCCCTTCTTAAACTGGTCCTTTCTTTGTCCTGTGGCTTCATCTCCTGCCACCCCCAACCCCGCTCCAGCTTGCCCTCCATCTCCAGCCCCATTAAATAACTTGTGCTTTCCCATATAAGCCAAGTTCTTTTCTCCCCTCTGTCCTCCCTCTCTGCATGCTGTTTCTTCTACTGAAAAATCTCCCCCACCCCTCTTCCCACGTCACCTGGCTATCTTCTCTAATTACTTGGCAGGTCTAGGCTTAGATGTCACATCTTCCAAAATGCCTTCCATAAGCCCTCAAGAATGGGTTAGGAACACCAGCTCTGTGCTCCCAAAGGACTCTATAATTAACTCCAACAAGATGCTTAAAACATACTTGTCTGTATCCCCCCCCCCCACCACCACCACAAAACCTCTTCAAGGACAGGGGTTTTTTTGTGCCTGGCACATTACAGGCTCTCAATAACTTTCTAATGAATTAATGAACCCTAGAAGTTAAGGAAGAAGACAGTTTCAAGAAGGAAGACAATACTGTGTATTGCGGAAGAGAGTTTAGAATGAGTCTGGGAAAATGCCATTGGGTTTTGACTATTTTTATCATCACAAACGGAAGAGTTTCAGTAGTGTTGTGGATGTGGAAGCCAGTCGGGGAGTTAAGAGTGAATTGCTGATGTGAAAGTGAGGCTTTAGTTACAAACTGTTTATACCAAGTTCGTAGGTGAGGAAAGGAGGGAACTAGATAGGCACTGTGAAAGAACTCAAAAGGAAAGAGTTCGTTTTATGGCCTTTAGTCCATCAGCTACTTCCCTGAACTTCAGGGAGTTTAACTCCTAATGTCAATTCTAGGTATTCCCCCAATGATTTTCCTATACCTAGACATGGACCTGGGATATAGAAAGAAACAAAATGTCCTCACTCTCCTATTACCACATTACACTTCACCTCCATCCCTATGTAACAACACAGACACGTGCACGCACAAGCACCCTGTATTTGTGCTAATTCCAGAATTCCAGGAATCTAAAGTTTCTGGGAATAACTGAGGCCTTTTCTCAAATTGGGCTAAGCTATGTCTGCCCCAGCAAAAGATATCTTAGGAGAGGTGATTGTTTGGGTAGAAAAGGATGGAACAGGTCTCCTAACATCTTGATGGCACCAAAAGAATGTGGGAGAGTCTTCTCTCTCTGCCCCTCGTTCCCTTGTATCTCCCCTGTCGTGCACCAGATAGGCTACAATGAAATAGCTTTAAGATTTTAATTTTTTCACAACCTTACTGATTTATCTTCAGCTTGTGACTCCTTCCTGCTCTTTGGCTTTTTCCTCCCAGAGAGAGATATGTCTGATCATGAGACCACCAACCTGACTAGCTTTCACCACCAGCCTCACACAGCTCACGTTGTACCTTATATTTTTTGGAAATATTTCCTGATCCAGCTGCCCTTCCAAGAGACGGCCAAGGAAGGTGAAGCTGGTACATTCCTGGGGCATCCTCTCAGGGGTATAGCCCAGCTCCACTTGCCCCTTCTTCAGGGTATACTCTCCCTCCACCATGGAACCTGTCATCACTTGTACTCTCTTCAGGTTCACTGGATGGCTGAAAATCACTGTCAGGTGGTTCCCTGTACTAACATTATATGTCCAAAAGAATGACTCGTCCACAGTGTAAGCCTCCCAGGGAAAATGAACATCAAAAACCTTCATATCAGTGAAAACTGTTCCAGGTGGGTTGTCAGGACCATAAGAGTCGTTTTTCTTAACTGTTGAGGTCTTCTGATTGTCATCAAACATGGGGTGGGAGGCTCTGTGGTAGAAGAGGAAAGGCCTGCAGAGGATTGGGTTTTGCTGAACCAGGAGGGCACGGAAATGAGGAATCAGCCTGTTAAGGGGCTTCTCCTTGTAGAAGAGGAGGAGGAAATGGGCGATGAGTGGGAGGTCCCTGCTGTGAAAGAGTTTACCAAGGAAGCCCATGTTGGAGAACTCCAGTAGTACCCATGGGTTGGAGTTCATGTTGGTCACCTTCCACTGAATGTGGCTGACAAAGTTGGGGCTACAAAAGACGTTGTCGTCTATTAAGAGGAAGTAATCAGAGAGGTTTGTGGCATAGCTCATGAGGAAGGCATGGTCCACATTCTGCTTGGAGTAGAATTCCCCAGGATAGGTGTCGTTCCTGATGCCACCCACAGGGGGGTAGGCATCAGATGGAGCATGGATCAGTAGTAACTGCCCTGCCAAGATTTCTGGGCTGAAGAGGCTTGAAATACGGGCCACGGTTTCCCTGAGCCAGGTGAGGTCAGAATCTGCTAGGTGGATCAACACTATGAAATGTTTCTGCTCAGCCTTAGAGGAAGCACGGAACAAGGAGTCCAGCGTGTAGAAGAGGTTACTTCCCTCTGGCCGTGACACTGAGGAGAGCCCCACCGTCAGAAACTCTAGCGAGAGGCAAAAGAGAGGACAGTTGTCAGTATGTGGTGGTGGAGATGGTTGTCAACAGAGTTAGGGGCTGGGAAGCTACTTGGGGCTTCTCTCTTCCTTTCTTTCCTCTCCTACTTCCCCATCTGTTCTCTCCTTTGGCAGTGGGCATGTTTAGGTCCTTTCTACTCAAAGTGTGGTCCTTAGTCCAGCAGCATCAGCCTCATCTGGAAGCTTATTAAAAATATAGACTCTCTGGACAGCCCCGTAAAACCAAATGAGACTAACGAGGTACAGGAGTCCAGTGACAAGGGCCAGAAAGCAGAAGGGGACAAGGAAGCTGGTGATAG